AAATACATCAAAAAGATAATCCATCATAATCAAGTAGGATTTATTCCAGGGATGCAACGATGGTACAGTATTAGAAAATCCATCAACATCATCTACGACATCAACAAAAAGGACAAAAACCACATGATCATCTCCATACATGCTGAAAAATCATTTGACAAAATTCAACATCCATTCATGATAAAAAGTATCAACAAAATGGGTACAGAGAGCAAGTACCTCAACATAATAAAGGCCATATATGACAAACCCACAGCCAACATCATACTTAACAGCGAGAAGCTGAAAGCTTTTCCCTAAGATCAGGAACAAGACAAGGATCCGTACTTTCTCCACTTTTATTCAACATAGTTCTGGAGGTCCTCACCACGGCCATCAGACAACACAAAGAAATAAAAGGCATCCAGATTGGTAAAGAAGTTAAAACCGTCACTGTTTGCAGATGACATGATATTGTACATAAAAAACCCTAAAGACTCCACTCCAAAACTACTAGATCTAATATCTGAACTCAGTAAAGTTGCAGGATACAAAATTAATACACAGAAATCTGTTGCATTCCTATACACTAACAATGAACTAGCAGAAAGAAAAATCAGGAAAACAATTATATTCACAATTGCATAAAAAATTAAAATACCTAGGAATAAACCTAACCAAGGAAATGAAAACCTATATCCTGAAAACTACAAGACACTCTTGAGAGAAATTAAAGAGGATACTAATAAATGGAAACTCATCCCATGCTTTTGAGTAGCAAGAATTAATATTGTTAAAATGGACATCCTGCCTAAAGCAATCTACAGATTCAATGCAATCCCTATCAAAATACCGAAAGCATTCTTCAACGAACTGGAACAAATAGTTCTAAAATTCATATAGAACCACAAAAGACCCCGAATAGCCAAAGCAATCTTGAGAAGGAAGAAGAAAGCAGGGGGGATGTCACATCCCAACTTCAAGCTTTACTAAAAAGCCACAGTAATTAAGACAATTTGGTACTGGCACAAGAACAGACCCACACACCAGTGGAACAGAATAGAGAGTCCAGATATTAACCCAAGCATATATGGTCAATTAAAGTACGATAAAGGAGTCATGGATATACAATGGTGAAATGACAGCCTCTTCCACACCTGGTGTTGGCAAAACTGGACACTACATGTAAGAGAATGAAATTGATTACTGTCTAACCCCATACACAAAAGTAAACTCAAAATGGATCAAAGATCTGAATGTAAGTCATGAAACCATAAAACTCAAAGAAGAAAATATAGGCAAAACTCTCTTGAACATAAACATGAGCAACTTCTTCATGAACGTTATCTCCACGGTCAAGGGAAACAAAAGCAAAAATGAACATGTGGAACTATAACAAACTAAAAAGCTTCTGTACAACAAAGGACACAAACAATAGAACAAAAAGGCATCCTACAGTATGGGAGAATATATTCATAAATGACATTTCCGATAAGGGGTTGACATCCAAAATATACAAAAAGCTCACACACCTCAACAAACAAAAAGCAAATAATCCAATTAAAAAATGGGCAGAGGAGCTGAACAGACACTTCTCCAAAGAAGAAATTCAGATGGCCAACAGGCACATGAAAAGATGCTCCATATCGCTAATCATCAGAGAAATGCAAATTAAAACCACAATGAGATATCACCTCACACCAGTTAGGATGGCCACCAGTCAAAGGACAAACAACAACAAATATTGGTGAGGATGTGGAGAAAGGGGAACCCTCCTACACTGCTGGTGAGAATGTAAATTAGTTCAACCATTGTGGAAAGCAGTATGGAGGTTCCTCAAAAAACTCAAAATAGAAATACCATTTGACTCAGGGATTCCCTCCTAGGAATTCACCCTAAGAATGCAGGAGCCCAGTTTGAAAAAGACATATGCACCCCTATGTTTATCGTAGGACTATTTACATTAGCCAAGAAATGGAAATGATTTCACTCATCTGTGGAGTATAAGAACAAAGAAAAAACTGAAGGGACACAACAGCAGCAGGCTCACAGAACCCAAGAATGAACTAACAGTTACCAAAAGGAAAGGGACTGGGGAGGCTGGGTGGGAAGGAAGGGATAAGGGGAAAAAGGGGCATTATGATTAGTACACACAATGTAAGGGGTGGGGCAAGGGGAAGGCTCTATAGCACAGAGAAGACAAGTAGTGATTCTATAGCATCTTACTACGCTGATGGACAATGACTGTAATGGGTTATGTGGTGGGGACTTGATAATGGGGGGAATCTAGTAACCACAATGTTGTTCATGTAAGTGTATATTAATGATACCAGAAATAAATAAATAAAGAGACTTTCATTTTTAAAAGTCAATTATATTTTAAGGTGAAAAACAAAAAGGAAGAAACAAATCCTATCATTTGCAACAACATGGATGGAGCTGGAGGAGATTATGCTCAGTGAAATAAGCCAGGTGGAGAAAGACAAGTACCAAATGATTTCCCTCATTTGTGGAGTATAACAACGGAGCAAAACTGAAGGAACAAAACAGCAACAGACTCACAGACTCCAAGAGGGGACTAATGGTTACCCAAGGGGAGGGGTGAGGGAAGGCCGGTGGGGGAGGGTGGGAGAAGGGGATTATGGTCTATTATGATTGGCACACATGGTGTGTTGGGGGGGATCATGGGGAAGACACTGTAGCACAGAGAAGGCAAATAGTGACTCTGTGGTATATATGAGTCACTACACTGAAGGGCCACAACTGCAATGGGGTATAGTGGGGACACAATAACATGGGTTAATGTAGTAACCACATTGTTTTTCATGTGAAACCTTCATAAAGAGTGTATATCAGTAATACCTTAATTAAAAAAAGGGCAGAGTACCTTAACAGACATCTAAAGAAGAAACACAGATGGCCAATAGGCACATGAAAAGATGCTCCACATGACTAATCTTCAAGGAAAGGCAAATCAAAATGACAATGAGGTATCATATCACACCAGTTAGAATGGCCACTATCCAAAAGACAAGAAACAACAAGTGTTGACGAGGATGTGGAGAAACAGAACTGTCCTACACTGTTGGTGGGAATATAAATTGCTGCAGCCACCATGGAAATGTGGAGTATAAAGGTTCTTCAAAAAACTAAAAATACAAATACCATTTGACCCAGTAATTCCACTTCTAGGAATTTATCCAAAGAAAACAATCCCTGATTCAAAAAGATATATGTGCCCCTATGTTCATCGCCACACTATTTACCATAGCCAAAATATGGAAGCAAGCTAAATGTCCATCAATAGATGAATGGATAAAAAATATGTGGTATATATACACAATGGAGTATTATTCATCCATTAAAAAAAAAAAAGAAATCCTGCCATTTGCAACAACATGTATGATCTAGAGGGTATTATGTTAAGTGAAATAAGCCAAGAGGAGAAAGACAAATACCATATGATTTCACTTATTTTTGGAATATAAAAACAAAGCAAACAGAATAAACAAAATAGCAGTAGACTCATAGACAAGCAACTAGTGGTTACCAAAAATAAAAGGAAAGGTTGAGGTGGGTGGGTGAGGAAACCAGTAAAAATGTACAATAACCTGCAATAACTATATAAATTCATCTTGGAAAATGGGGATCAACAGAGGTGAGGCTTAGAACCTCACCCTCCCTGCTTTGAGAAATCTTCTGCATCCGTGGATGTTTTATTGCCCGTGTCTAGCTTGGATTAATATTTAGTCTATAGGCACACACCTGATCATCTACATTTGCCCTCTTACAGCACTAAACTATGTTTTCTACCTTTACCTTGCATCTACCTACCACTTCAGCATTTTATTTAAAAATAATAATTATAATAATTATAATAATAATAAGGGAGAAATGTGGGATTCACATATAAATCAAGTATAAAAATCAAATGAATCATAATTGACCTGATTGTTTATAGTTCATGATGCGTGATCAAAACCGAAAGTTTCTGTGATGACTGCCCTTGCACTGTTCACCATGTAAGAACTTATTCACTATGTAAGAATTTGTTCACCATGTAAGAACTTGTTTGTTATGCTTCAGAAGATTGGAGACTGTTGAGAATTAGGCTTGGGGTTGATTAATGATTGTGCATTGAGTCCCCTATACAGAATTTTATTGTTGTTAAGAACCATTTGATCAATAAATATGAGAGATGCCCTCTCAAAAAAAAAAATTCATCTTGGAGATGGTAGTAAAGCATAGAGAATGTAGTCAATGATTCTGTAACATCTTTCTATGTTGACAGATAGTAACCACATAAGACGGGGTGAGGATTAAATACTATGGGTAACTCTGAACCACTGTGTTGTATATTTGAAATCAAGATAACGATTGTGTATCAATGATACTTCAATTTTTTAAAAATGGCTTACTTAAAGAACTAAAAAAGTCAACAAACACAATGAAAATGCTTGCCCACACTAACCATTAAAGAAATGTACCACAACGGAACCGTCCTCACCTGAGACAGATGCTAACCCCATCCTCAGCATCACAGGGAAACAAGCATTCCCGAATGGTCTGTACTCTATAGACGAGTAAGGCCCCCTTGGAAGGCAATGACATGATCCCATGTTACACCCTAAGTCACTCTACGAATACATTTGCAATTAAAATCAAAGACCTGTGTATACAGAAGTGCACTGGACATGTTTATAATGGCAACAAAATGAAAAAATTTTTAAAACACATCTGTGTTTATACGTTTACATGTCTGTGTTTAAAATTGTTTTAAAAATATGCTTACATGCCAAAAGTATTTCTGGGAAGTTAAGATAGTTCCCAGTAACGGCCTCTGGTGGAGGCGCAGGCTGTACCCTAGCAGCTTAATATCTTTTACCTTTCCATTCCTTCTGATACACAGGGCACAATTTTCACTCTATGTAAGAAACCCCAGGGCTCTCTGGTGCACACGAGGTTGGGTCTGTGCCCCTAATGAGCGTGTGGGGAGCTGGGCTGATCATGGAGGCCCTTACCTTGTCATCCCTCTTGTTTGGGACAGCTAAGTGCAACCTGTTCAGCACCTCATTCACTTTGTTTCCTTTCATTTTGGTTTCAACCCGATGAGCCAAAAGCCTGTCACAGGCCTAGGAAGGAGAGGAAACAGACACCACTCACAAGGCACTCCTGTCAGGAAGGACCCGACCCTGCGTACCCCACCGGCAGTCCAGAGGCCCACACCTGCTCCACACTCCCCTCCAGAGCAACTCCTGTGGCAAGTCCCACTGCGCCCCACAATGGTGGATGGGCCACACACCCCCTCTCCAGGCCAGGCCCAGCCCAAACTGAGGCAGGACCCCAAGAAGTGCCCCCAGACCTGGCTCCCAGAAGGCACCTCGCACCCTGCTCCCAACTGAGGGCTCTAAAAGGAGAGCTGCCCTTTGTTTGTAGCTTAAAAAAAAAAAGCAACAGAGTAATCATTCATTACACTGCCCCAGCTTGTCATAGTTCTGCCACACTTTTCCATGTGCTTCTGAACACACTCTAAGGGGGACTTCCCACAGCCCCTGGAGTTGGTGGCAGGGAGGGCACAGCAGGCCTGGAGAACGTCACCACTGAGGTGGGGCACCCCCTCAAATCCCAGGCTCACCGCCCACCTCTCAGTGCTCAGTGCTGGAAACACTAGAGGAGAGTTCCCACAACTGACTCTTCCTAAACCAGAGAGCTGGTCACATGGCCACCGCTACCTGCCCAGAGGTGCCCACCTCTGTTTTCACTTGGGTGACTCCCTCTTCCGTCAGGGTGCTGGTCTCCACCACAGGAAATCCTTCTGCCTGCAAATTTGCAAATATTTTCTGGCAATACAAAAGAGAAGTAAAGGTGCATTATTTATTTTTAGCTCCCCATGAACAAATCTTGCTGTTCTGCAAATGGGTGATAGTAATGTAATTGTAATTAGCACCTCTGTGGTTTTTTAACTCTTTGAAGGATGGCTCCCAACAAGTTATTCATTCTCCTTATATTCTTCTATGATTATGAAAATACAGATTATTGAGAGGATCAAACCAGAGGCTCTTGGAAATACTGTGAGACCACACCCTTCAAAAAGAAATTTGTCAGGATCAAGGCAGGGACTTTTTAAAGAATGTCTACAATTCCATTTTTATAAAATATTTGGCCTCTGCAGCCTAAGAGACTTACTTAGAAAACAACACAAAAATGTTTAGGACTCAAGCTGCATGTCAATCACTAAGACCTTCCAGGCAAGGATATCCATCTGCTTACCCTCCCCTAAGGCCATGCTAGTGCCTCACCACCCACGCAGGTAAACAAGCCCATGAGGGGTAAGCTTCTCAGGAACATGACCGACTTGCCTTACGACAGACAGGTCTGACTTACCCATCAAACCCCACCCCGGAAGGAGCAGTGGTCTTGGGGAACACCAGGTCTGAAAGCCAAGCCCACCAAAACTAGCATGTGTCCCAAGACACCGTGTCTACCCAAACTTGTGACGCAGCGTTCAGCAATTGTGCTCTGAGGTCAGAATCACCAATGAACAGGGCAGGAGACCAGTTGTGCTAGCCTATAGTAATCCAATAGCAGCCACTATAGTCTCACTGTCCGACTTTACCCCCCTTTCCCGCCAATGTCACTGGTAAACAACCCCATGATACAGCTGCTACCACCACTGATTCTAAGGGAAGCAGTGGAAAGGCAGGCTGGGACCTGAGCTCAGCTTCCCCCTTCCCTGCCTGTTCTAGACTTTCCCTCGCCTCTGCCTTCCAATGCCTTCCAGCATGAAAAACAGATGACTCGACAGTTATTTGGGCCTTTCAAACACAAGTAAACTGTCTGAAGTAACTGTTCATCTAATTTGTAATTTAAAGAATACAGTGTAATGCCCTAAGGAAACCAGGTTGGCTGCTTAAAAAACCTAATTTCTACCAAGTTTTAAACATCCAAATAGCACAAGATGGATGCTGGGAAAAGGCTGTGGGCACCTCCCAGAATTTTTGATCACATAGCCAGGGGTGTGCCCGAGAATCTGAGAACGAGCATACTAGTGCAAAGCTTCTCAAAGCATTTATCCTGCAAGACGCTCAGTAAAGAGAGCTGTGGACTTGAATGAGTCTAGAGATCAGTTTGGAAAAGGGCTGACAATGCTGACTGCCCCTGTAAACTCAGCAGAGGCTGCATACAACTCTGCAGAGCCTGGTGCTGCTCCTTCCCTCCTCACTCAGTCAGTTCCCAAACCTACATTCCCATACAGTCCATGCAGCAGGTCCAGGACACCCAGGTAGCCAGGCAGCCTTCCTACCCACAAACTCCCTGCAGTCCTTCCTGCAGAGGCTAAGCCCATCTTACAGCACTCTGCCCCCTTTAAGGCACCAATGAGAGAACAGTCCCTTTCCAAGTAACATGCCTTCCACAGGTGAAATGGACCACCTGGCAAACCCATGGATGTTTCCAGAGCTATAAAAGTAGGAATCAGGAAATTCCAAGTTGAGTTTGTCACTAATAGATCTTTATAATGTCATGTGGCTGAACCACTGACACTATTATCTCAACTGTAAAATAAGACACTGGACTTACATTGCTAAGATACCTGCCCAGCTTTGGTTGTCTGAGAGGATATCCAAGATCAGTAAGAATACTCAGAACATTAAGGGACTTACCTGGTCATCTTCAGAAAGCTCAGCTATTCTCCTCACGTCACATTTGTTTGCTACGACTATAAGAGGCTGGAGCAAGGAAGAAAAATAATGGAATTTACTACCTTTGCACTGCAGGTGAGGGCCTAGAGTGTAGTCAGCACTTACCTTGTTGATGAAGAGGGGTTGGATGTTCTGAAAGAGCTCCAGCTGCTCCCTCAAGCCATGCCCGCACTGCTCAGACACGTCCATCACGTAGAGGACCGCAGCACGCAGGTGGGCCAGGGCCGTGATGGCCTGCATTTCGATGGTGTTCCGATCCTCCAGAGGATGGTCCAAAATCCCTGGAGTGTCTACGACCTACAAATCACACACATTCCCCAGCTTTGCACCCAGCACACCCCAGAAGTCACGCATACACAGAAACCCACCTGACAGGACTAACCAATGAAATACTGGTCTCCCACATGATCGACAAAACCAGCAAGGCACTGGGGGAAGTGTACAATTCCTAGATATTAAGGAAAAAGGAGGTGTGTGTGAAGGGGCCCTGTGAGCTCATCAGAGGGCCAGCCCACGCCAAGATCAGCAAACACCCATGCATTAGGAATCACGTCATCATTTATAAAGTCAAATCTAACTGTCAAACATTGCCTCATGCTTTTCAATAGCAAATGCCATTTCTACCAACAGGTTCCAGAAGGGTGACACGGAGACCCTCACGTCACCACTGGCATCCCGGTCACACAATGTAGAAATCCATACTGGAGGTAGCTGCTTTCCCTGACCTCTATCAGAGAGACAAGAACTGCCTCAGGCAGCCCCAAAGCTCAGAGATTTCTTGTGGGGATGCTTCCGGGACCCCACAGAGCCTTTTCCCACCTGCTCAGTCTTCCTTATGATCTCAGCACCCCCGCACAGGGACACTCTTGTTCTTCAGAGCCCCTCCAAATCAAACTCCCCTAGGTAAGCTGCCAGACACCTGCAGTTTCACAAGCAGAGCACTCACCTGCCAACGCAGATACTTGTAATCCATGTGCCCCACGAACAGAGACTTGGTGGTGAACGCGTAGGGCTGCACATCCACATCTGCCCTTGTCACCTGAAACAGCAGCACAACATCTAGTCACATGAGCTCTATGCCCCACCCCTCTCAGACAACTTCCATGCAGCACCATGTGGACAGAACCCAACTGCTTTGGTAGGACAACAAAAGAGAAGACCTCACACAGAGGGCCAGCAAGAACGGCAGCTCCATCTCCTCACACCCCAGCCCCATAGCCTCATCAGGTACCCAGTGTTTCCTATAATGCACTTAAACATCTCAGATTGCTCAGAAACTGGGGGACACACACAAGAATACACCAAACTGGCTCCTGTAGCAAAAGCGCAGGCTCTGACAGTCCATCCTCCTTTGAACCAGTGTTCCAAGTCAAGAGCAGCAGCCCAAGGGCAGCACTTCCACCTCAGAGACAGACTGACCTTATTGATGAAGCTGGACTTGCCAACATTTGGGTACCCACACAACAGCAGGGTCCTCGTGTTTGGATCAATGGTTGGCAGACGGGACAAATGCTGACGCACTGCAAAACGTTTAGACATGCTTACTTTTGTAAGAAAAATTAAGAAACTCAAAGTATAAGATCTGCTTGATTTAGTTAAACCCAGGCCCTGGTTCCATCAACCTCATTCCAGTATTTATAACAGGCGAGAGAGAAAACAAAATGACGGAGAATGAACAAAAGAAGGGTTTGCTGCAGAGGCACCACAACATACAGAAAAGTGCCTCCCAAGAGTGGCCGCACCAAAAATACTGCTCCCAAGCCTGACCAAAGGGCTTGTCCTATTCACTGGGTCAAAGCGGGGGCCAAAACATATCTGACAAGTGCCCAGACCATGTCTAGTGAAGTACTTGGAAAAGTGTTCTTAAGAGAGCGAGCAAGCAAGTATGTGTACCGTCACTCCCTGGATAGACAGTGGGTTAACTCCATGCAATGCCTGGACTTCAGGCACTGAGTCCATGATGCACAGCCCAGTGACACCACTGGGCTACCACCACAAGCATGTCAAAGCAGCCGAGATGACAGTCTTGTCACAAATTATTTGCAAAATGCCAGGGGAGGGGCAACAAAACCAAACAAGTTAAAAACATCTGTAGTTTAAAAATGTATGCATGCAAACAGCAAATAATCGTTTCAATAAAAATCCTACTACATTCACTCAGAAATTGTCCTATTAAATAAAACTATCATTTAACAAAACAAGAAGAGCAGTTTTATACTAACACATGGTATAAAAAAAATTTTTTTTATAACAGTTAAAATGTCAATAGGTTAAACTATAAGTCATTTCATTTGTATTTATTTTTTGGTATTTTCCTACAATTTATAATCTATGTGCCTTACACATTAAATATGGAAAATACAAATTTTCTTTGCAGTGTTATTCATTTGTAATCATTATAAATGCTAGGCTTTTCAATAATAACTAGCCTACTTAGGACTTCTTACAGGCTAAGCTAGAAAAATAATTTGACCCTGTCATCTCTACAGTAAAAAACAAAAACAAACATAAATGAGTTCTCAACAAGGATCAAGAGCCTCAACAGAACACTGTAAAAACAACTTTTTTGCAAAAAAAGTACCTTGTTCCAAATACTCCAAACTCTGCCTCTGCCTTTTGATAACAGTACACATTCGCCCAAGGGCAGCACGCTTCAGCTGCTTGCAGCGATAGAGAGAATCACCGTATTTCATAAGCCGCACATAATCTTTAGCAACACTTAAATAAAAAGAAGTATGTAAGACATTTTTCACTTCTTAAAGTGATTTAAGAATACTCTACCAGGAAAATACCTTACTTGTCCACCAGGTTTTTGGCAATATTTATTTGTCCTAGGGCCAGCTTGTAATGATCCTTGTCATAAAGAATGTTCATCAAATCAGCATAAAACGGATGGATATCCTGGAACAAAAACAAAGCAGTCATTTGGTACAAAAGTTCCTCACCCCAACTTGAAGTATGCATTCCAAGGCAAACACAGCCGCCATCCCCACTCTCTTTAAAGCCCGGCACTTCTCCCAGCCCTCTCTCCTGGCCCAGGCCTGTTTAGTTCTGAGAAAGCCAAAGGAAGCCCAAGGGTCGCTTTGGCCTGCACCTGCCCTGTGCGGAGAATACTCCCTTCATCCCCACTCCCGTGGAGCCACCATCCATGGACCCAGTCAAGGCCACATCTCCATTTGTGCACCAGGCCATCCCCATATTGAAGGCTGAGCTCCAGAAATTCTTTCCTCTTAACTGGCCATTCTCATCAGCCTGCAAACATGCTGTTACTTCCCAAAAAATTTTTTAAGTTTTAAGACTCCCCTGAAAAGTACAATTCTTGCGTTTCGTCACTCTCCTTCTTGGCAAGTACCTTGCCTTCCCTCTGGTGCTCGTCAACCCAGTCTCACCAAGATGGTCTCTACTGTCAGACCAGCCTTCCCCTCCTCCCTTCACCTCCAGGCCCCCAGGCACTGGGCTGCCTGCCTTGCATCCTCTCACTGTCCAGTCACCAGCCTCCAGGGCACCTGTCTGGCTCTTCCCTCTCACTGGCCACTTATCAAACTTCCAGCAGGCTCATGGCCCCATCCCACTGCACAGAATTCAACTACCGGCCCAGAGCGCTTTCCTTTCCATGCTCATGACTCAGGTGGCTCATGAGGTTTGGAGTGCACCCATGTTCTCATAGCCCACCTGCTCATTGCAAGGCCAGACCTCTCACAAGCCCAGCTCTTCCAGAGGACCCTCAGGCCCATCTCATGCTTAGCGTACACCTACTCCCCTTCCTAATCGAGCCACACCTGTGCCATAAGCACATCCATTAGCTCTTCCTCCTCTTGCGTCTCAGTTCCTTAGCACCAGCTAACTCACTGCATTAACCTCCAAGGGACCCCTGAACCCCACAGCCCAGGCATCCTTTACAGGTAGGTAAAAGCATGGCAGGTCCCAGCTCACCTCCCAAGGCATCAACACAGAACTCAAGCCCACCCAGCCTCTCTGGCCCTCCTCCACCTACTCCGCCCCCCACACACTTGCTCCACCTGCTGGATCCTCCTGTTCCTCCAAGATACAATTCGGACCTCAGGGCCTTTGCACTCAGTTTTTGTGCCTACACAGCTCTTCCCCCAGCAGCCATGCTCACCACCTCACTGCCTTCAGGTCACTGATAAACACCCTGCACGGGGACTCCCTGCTCTCCTTACTCATCCGAAATACTACTAATTTCCACGTGTGCTATCCTCCCCCACCCAACCCCCACCAGGAATACTGCTGTACTCCTAGTACCTAAACAGTATGAGACACAGCAATCACTCAACGAAGGTGACTTACTCTAACCCTCTACTCTTAAATTCATCCTCAGATAACCTTAAAAAAGACAAGCAAGAGCATGTTCATAAATTTGAAATTATAATGTACTAAAAATGATACCAAAGACAAAAAAAATAAAACTTCTTACAAAGAACCACAAAAACTGAGCACTAATTAGATCAAACTATTTTCTCTTTACTCAAACCACACATTTCTAACATCAAATCAGTTTAGGACAATCTCATACTTACATTTTCCCACCCCTATGTCCTTCCTATAGCACCTGTCCTTTCCCAATAAATTATTCACACACCTAACAGCATCTAAGTCCCAGAGAAGAAGAACAAGTGCCTGTCCACAGCAAAATTTTACTCTTTACCTTAAACACCTTTATTTCTTAAACCAGCTATTACTACTTTTCTAAATGTAAAAGAAATTCTTGTCACATAAACCAACCTTTTCTCTCTCACCTTAACCTACCTTCAGGGACACTTCCAGGCATCAGTGAATTTAATCTCACCCTATAATATTTCTGGCCCCATATTCTTCAACACCTCAAGTAACCTTGCAACTGGGTGACCCCACACAGGGATGTCATATGCAGTGTATACTTGGCTTCATGTCGCTAAACAAACAGGCAAACTGCTCTAAGCAGCAAAGTGAAGAGTCCAACTTCTTGCTTAATGTAGAAGTCACAGATCCCCATTTCTTCTCACCAGTGAGGCACGACTTGGTCAATGCTTAACTGACCATCACTGGCTAATGAAGCAACAGGACAAAGAGTGGTGACCTCAAGACAATGACCCAACCTGAGGCCACAGAAAAAGAGCCCTGGAAGAGGTAGGAAAGAAGGCCCAGACACACTGGGAAGCCACGGGCACCCTGAGCTTCTGGGTTCAGTCCTCGCCCTCAGAGAGCCTGGTTTGGCCCTGCAAGCCAGAGGTCACAAAGAAGGCCTGAGGAGACAGCTCTGGGCCCTCACAGACGGAGTTTAGTTTGGGAAGGAGGAATTCTCAGGAATCAGAACACCTGAGTTCTGCTTCTAGCTTTGCCACTAACTCAGAGCAAACAATGACAAGTCAATTATTTTCTGTCCCTGATTAGGTGTCAGATGAGTACACCAAGCTGATTAAACACCAATTATCTGAAGGCTCATATTTAAATAACCACTTGCGTTCCTCAGAGTCACTCACATCCAATTTGGGGAAATCCGTTAGAATCTGAGAGAGTCTGTCATGGTAATTCTGCTGAGTAAATTTGACTTTCCTCATGTAAAAATGTCTAATGCGATGAATTTGATAATGTTTATGAATAACCGTTGGAGTCTTGCGTTGAGTCTTCGATAATGTCAGGTCAATAAAGTCCTGTGATTAAATAAAATAGGACAAGTTTACATCAAAAATGGCTACTTCTCATCTGCTTATCTGAAACCTTCTTAAAAGGCTAGTATCTAGTAACACTATAAACTTGAGGCTACAAACACATTTTCTAACTAAATCTTTAACCTTGTACCTACAACTGTGTTCATCTTAATTTCTGACCTTTAAGAAACACTTAGCAAATGACTGCTAAATAAATGTTATCCAAAACTTTCTTGATGTTATCTTAATTTCCAAATACCTAAGAACCTTTGAAACTTGGACGACTCAAGCATAAGTCAGAAAAAATACTACAGAAAGAGAAGAAAGCCCACAATTTGCCCATCTTTGACTTTGAAAGTACACAGAATAATGGCCCAAAGTAAAATCCACTGTTATGTCTTAAGATATGGCAGGTGACGGAGGAGGACACAAAAGACTTCTACGCGAACTCCCCAGCGCAGGCAAACAACAGCGGAGAGGTGCCCACAGTGGTATTGGCAAGAGGAAGGGCATAAATGTCTCACCAAGACCTTCTTCATCTAAAGGATTCCTGGAATCCTTACGAGGCCAGTTCAAAAGTCACCTGCTCCATCGAGTTTTCCCTGACTCCCCACAGCTCTCGGGAGGGACCCCACTCCAGGGATCCCCTAACCCCAGGGAGCTAATACCGAAGCATAGTGCAGGACGCGGGGCCTGAGAGGCGGCCCCTCCCCAGCCGGGTCTGCAGGCCCGCGCCCTCCCGGCCCAGGAGAAAAGAGGGAGCGGACGCCTCGGAGCCCTACCTTGGCAGACGGGACCACAGTGATTTTCTTGAAGTTGTAGTGCGCCATGCTGACTGCCGGACACGCGGGACGGGACCGATGGGCGGGCAGGACTTCCGACAGGCGGGACTTCCGGCAGTCGGGACTTCCGCCTGCTCGCATTCGTCACTTCCTGGCATCCCTGCACTCCCAAGCACGCTCTTGCTTCATACAGTGCCCCTGCCGGACGGAGGTCCTTAACTGAGTAGGACGCAGGGCCGGGGGTAAGTTGGAGTGCACTGGGGGCGGGGAGGACTGTGGGCACGGAAGGGGCCCTGGAGTCCATGCTGCTCCCGCCCAGGCCAGCCTGGCTCGGGGGTCCGCGATGTCGGGGTCCTGGTGATACCGGGGTTCTTGTTTGCGGAGTCGAAGAATGAACTTAGCAAACAGTCAAGGTAGGAGAGCCAGGGAGACTTTTATTGAGAGATACAGTGAGAGGACAGACAGAGCTCCTGGTGTGAGCCAGGAGGGGACAAGAGAGCCCTTATTGTTGCGTTGTCTAGGGGTTTTATAGGCAGTTGAGGATATTTGGGAACAGGAAAAAAAGCTTAGGTGTGTGGACTTGTTAAGTGGTCCCTGAATATTAAAAATTAATTTAAGGAATTTCCTGCCTTGATTTCTCTCTGGGATAACTGCGTTTGGTTTGGGAGCATATCAAAAGGCCGCCTGCCCAGCCCCCAAGGTGGGCTGAGGTATTGTCTGCTGAAGAGTAAGTTAAGAATCTTACTTGTTAAACTTCCTGGGTGTTAAAATGTAATCTTATCTTTAAGGTGGAATCCTTCCTGCCTTTTACTATGTTATTTACAGCTGGGTCTGCATGCTAAATTAGTTGCCCAGTTTGCAAAATCACCTCATCAGATCTGAAGGAGGAAAGACAGCAAATAGGCCTGGTCCTTTAGCATGCTAAGATGAACCGTACACATGATTACAAATGATTAGCATAATAAAAACATGTGCTACTCTTCTTTATCTGGGGAATATTAACTGATCTCAATGAAGAATGACTCTAGAGCTTAATGTTCAACACAGAGTTTTGGTAGGGGGTTTCCTTGCGTGTAGTTACATTGCTCTGACTGTAAATATCCTGCCTTGCTTTTTCCAGAGACCCTCACCGTATTCTGTCTAAGCCCATGGTCCCTGTCTCACTGGGGGTTCAGGGGACTGCGGGGTATCGGGGATCCGGGGGCTCTGGGAGCTCTGGGGCTTTGGATGTGTCAAGGGTCCAGGGACTCGGGGGGCATGGAGATCTCCGGGGGTGTCGGCGGTCCAGGGGACCAGAGGGACATGGAGGGCTCGGGGGCTTCGGGAGATATCGGTGACTCTGGAGGGTTTATCTTCACCTAGACATTTCCGTCCCCGATGTGCCCACCCGCCGGATTCCCAGCGTGTCAAAGCGCCTAGGGCCCCGCCCCCGCACCCTGAATCCCGCCTAAACCCTCGGAACAGCCAGATCCAAGAGCAGGACTGGCCTACCGCTGTCCGGTGTGGAACTGCATAAGGGATGAGGCGAGGGGCAGGCCAGGACATGTGCCAAGAGTGCCGGATCTGGACATGGGACAGAGGAGAAGCCCTGTCCGGGAAGAGGGCTGCAAGCAGCTCCCCACAATATGTTAGGAGCCCTCTGGAATCTGCCTCAGGAAACAATCTCTACTGTGGTTTCTGTTAACAAGAGGACACCACCTTGGGCAACGCCGAACCACATCCCCGTGGTAAACCTTCTGTAGGTGTGACCATGTGCCTAGCACTGTTCAAAACATTTGACCACATACTACCTTCCTGAAGTCCTACAACCCTGTGAGGTGGGTGGTGAAACCGAGGCCCCACAAGGCCAGTAACTAGCAGCTGGCCTATGGCTCCTAGTGTTGGGGGGAGAGGCGTTGTGTATTTCCTCGGTTCTTGTCCTGCCGCGACAAGGAATTGAAGGGCAGAGACACAGTAGTGAATCAGAGTAAAAGTCTTTTTTAATGTTACTTAGAAAGTGCAGGCGACCTCAGAGAGAGAGGAGCACCCTGAAAGGTTGGGGGTTCCCCCTTTTAAGGATTTTTCAGGAATGTGACAAAGGGCTAGGGGTGTGGACTTGTTAAATGGTCTCAAGTATCTTGGATGAGACATTAAGTTTCTTATAAGTCCTCTAGGTAAAATTAGCTTAACACAAGAAATTTACTGCTCTGGTCCCCTCCCAGGGTAGCAGCTTCCAGGTTTGGGAGCATATCAAGACTGTCTGCCCTGCCTCCAAGGTGGGCAGAGTTATTTGTTTGCTAAAGAGTATGTTAAGAATCTTCCTCTTAAACTTCCTGGGTTTTTTTTCAAAATGCAATTTTGTCTTTAAGGTGGGATCTCCCTTTCAATAGGGACTTTACATTGTTACATTGCTTTGACTGTAAATATCTTGCCTTGCTTTTTCCGGAGGCCCTCACCCTACTCTAAGCCCATGGTCCCTGTCTCAGTAATATTCCCAACAGCTTTCTGATGTGTGCTGAAGTAAGATCAGAGGCTTGCTTTTCCCCAGGGTCACGCAACTCAAGGTGGCAAACAAGACCAGACCCCGCTGAGGACCAGCATCTCTTGAGCCAACCCATAAACACAATCATTTATACAGAATGTATAAATGGAGGGAACAGAATTTTTTTAAGTGATAATAACAATATAAAATATCAACATATGTAATTTTTTAGGTTTTATGTGAAAGTCCTCTTGTTCATTATAACAGAAGGGAGACATTCATCAAGAAACCAGATATAAGACAAAAGTGTATTAACATTCATGTGAGAATAAATGAAAAACTGACAGGTCTTTGGTATTTTACTATTCTCCCATGAATTTGAAATCATTTTAGCTTAAAACACTTGATAAGCACTCTCCATGGTGAGTTGTTAAGGGCCTGAACTCACATGCAGCTCTGCACCTCACAAACTGCATATTAGACCCTCAGCCCTGGTTTCTCTTTCACAAAATAGGGAAATAATGCCCACCTCCAAAGGCTTGTCTGCAGTAGTTGATTAAGATCCATCTGCAAAAAAACATAAGGCAAGAGTAAGTAATGTAATGACTATCATTAATAAAATTTCCTATAAAAACTTCATTGGATCAGCACAAGATAATGATCTGAGTATTGCCATAACCCATATTAAATGTCAAATTTCTTATCAGGAATCTCAAGTCCTGGGAGTGACAATAGCATCAACCCTTGAGCATGGTCATGTAGAACCCAAGTTATTTGCTAGCTTTTCAAGAACAAGAACTAGCTCATGAAAAGAGATGTATGAAACACCCTCCCCTCATTATACATCTGTGGGTGTGAAATTGGAAAGGGGGTATAGGACAAGCAGACCACTTGCCAGGAGCCACCTGCTTTTCAGTTGCTCAGCCACCAGGCCTGTCTGTGAAGGTACCAGCAACCTGATGCAGCATGGTCCCACAGCCATATGCCCTTGATGGGCACCAGGTATCCCACACAACCTGCACATCTATGGGAATCAATACTCTTCCTTTTCCAGGTGCACTTTGCCAGGCTGAGTGCAGCTGCCTGGGGGCAGGTGTATTCCAGACCAAGACCAAGCTGCTAGTCTCAGGGAACTGGCTGTTGTGGGCCCTTCCAGGAGAGTCGGAAAAGGCACATCAGCAGAAGGCAGATCACCAGTTCCTGAGCTGATACTGACCGTATCGTGGGGTTGTCTGGTTACTGGGACTCCTCAGAGTGTGAGGCCCGTGACGGGAATGTTAGCCTTACACGGGCAAAGGACACTCTGAAGGGTGCCCTGCAGTGCCTTCTGGTGACTTCTGACAGTCACAGCAGGGCACAGTAAAAAGGCTGTTTTTCTGGGTCTCTACTTTCTGGAGCTGGTCTCCTCTGTCCTACTCTCTTGTTGCTATAATTATGGTTGGTGAAAAATATTTCTTGCAGCAGAATCTGTGCCAGAGAAATGTGACAAACTTCTTGCCTAAAGGAGCCTTTGGAGAGAACTACACATTTGGCCCCAGGGAGCAGTCTGGTGTTGGGAGGTGTTTCATCAGTGCCTGTGTCAGTCGGTTTCCCTGGGTCCCTGGAAGCTGTGTTCTGGCCCGCTCACCTACAGGTGTCACAGCTGCTGTGAGCTATTGTCTAGACATGGCTGGGTCTGTTCTGTCCTCTGTGAGGTGGAGATGGGGTTCCTTATTGCCCTGAGTGCTAAGGATGATCCCAATAGGTCAGAATTGCTTAGGCGAATTCCTGGCACTGACAGACCTGTAGCATTTGGAATCTGGCTTGTACTATACCCACTCATGTCACCACTCCAGCCCTACCCCAGGAAGAAAGCTGCTGCAGACCTCCAACCCAGTGATAGCCTAGACAGATGCACCCCTCGATTCTGACTGACAGACTTTCCCCCAAGGAGCCTGTAACCAGCACCCCGACTACTGGCCCAGCTCATTTCTCACTGAAAAGAGCCCACAGAGCAGGCACAGGATGCGGAGCCAGGCTGCCAGCTGTGCACAGCCCACAGCCACATTCTGCCCATCGGCCTGCTCCCTGCTTCTGGCCCCCAGCCTCCCAATCCATGACCTCCTAACCCATGTCCTTTCGACCTATCCCACCCCAGTCCACAGCTTCCTGACCTTGGCTTCTTGGCGTGAACCACAGTGCCTCAGCTCCTGACCCAGGGGAGAAGAGCCAGGCCCGCACAATGGCATCTGCATGCACGTTTCCTGGAGAAGTGATTGGTTGGTTATGAGGAGAATTCATGGGAGGAGAAAGAGTTGAAAGGTGGGCTCCTCCTCGTGTTACTATAACACTGAAAACTCAAGAGAAGGGGAGTTTTACTTTAATGTTGTTCCTGGTGCCCATCAGCTTGTGCTGCAGTGACAAAACACCACAGATGTAGCAGATGGAGTGGCTTATAAATGACAGAGATTTGTTTCTCACATTCTGGGGGGCAGAATGCCCAGACTCAGGTGCCAGGTGGCTGCACTCTGGTTAGAGCCCTTCATGTATGTCCTCACCTGTGGAGAGAGCACATGGGTGTCTCTCCTTCTGGGCACTAATCCCATAATGGGACCCCCGTCATCACCTTACTAGTCCTTGTCACCCCCAAAAGCCCTGTTTCCTTATGCCATCACACTGGCGCTGGGCATCAACATAGGAATTTGGAGGGACAAAACCTTTAGTCCATAACACTTAGCAAGTGTTAATGTAACCATGAAATTTACATAGTCCCTGTGAGTCATGTCCAATCTTAAATGTGCTGTAGGACAGACGGCATCTGCTTGGAGGGATGAGTCCACTGGGGTTGCCCTCATTCCACAGAGTGGGAGCATAGCAGCCACACTCCACGTTAGCCACCTAAGCCCTCCCTCCAGAGCTGCATACAACATCAAGAAGGTGACTCCATTTTTAAGACCTATGGAATCTAGGCAAATCTTTTGATTTCTTTATTGCAAATTGAGTGCAATAATAATGTTTACAGAATGGGATGATTGTGAAGCTTAGATAGTAAGCATGACATAATTGTCACAGTGCCAGGATGGGGTAAGAATGCAGAAGATTCCCCATTAGCTGTGTACTTATTACATACTCAGTCACAGTAACATTCGCTAAATTCATGTTCTAGTCATTCAGTTTTTGTTGAGTCTTATATAATAATTGCCTTGCAGGGAACCTCAAGCACATGCCAGGTAACTTATTTCACAGCTGCTCAATGAGGTGGGCGTGGCCCTGTCTGTTTCACAGGAAACACTGGTTTTGGAGAGGTAAAGTGGTTCATTCAGTCACAGCTGCTGAATGGCCCAGGTGGAGATGGAATCCAAGGCTGCGGAACTCCAGAGCCACTCTTCCTATTACTCTGCCTGTCAAGAGTCACTTTGTTCTTCAGAGATTACTTTCTTTCAGTGTTCAGACGGAGATGGGATGCACTCAGGGTTGTATGCTGTAAATAATCCATGGCACAGGTGTTTCACTAAAGCAGTACCTGTGCATGTACATTTCTTCTGAGGGAGGGTAGAAAAACCGTTCCTGTCAATAAAACACTACAGGCAGGTGGGACTGTCCTGGCCTGTGCTGATTAACTAGTGCCTTGTTCATGTTGGCAGCTGTTGATAAGGGATGTTTCATGCATCAGTTACAACACCAGTATATGAATCATCCCATTACATGAACACACACACTGTTCTTTCCATTTTACAATTCCCTAAAGGACCCTTAGGTCTGATGAAAATTTCTAAAAGAAAATAAAAGGTGATAATAAAAGGTTTGCAGTCAGATTGTGTACTTATTTTTTATTAATTTCCAAGTGAATCTAAATATCTACTGGAAGAATTTCTTAAGATTAGCATTCTGTAAAACACCCAAAAAAGACTCAAGAAAGGCAATGACAAGTTTCATGTTGCAACCGACATCTGAATTCTTGGTGTTTATGAAAGCCGGTTAGACAACTGGTTGCACTGTCCACCCCTCAGGGTGGAGAAGATCTGAAGTTCCCACCCAAGCCCTACCACCAACTATTGTAGCAATAGCAAGCCAAGTGCTTTCTCCACTATTTATTGTGAATTAAAAGCATAATATTCACTTACCGGGATGTATCAATCTGTATAACCTTGGTTATGCTGTGGTGATGACAGTCCCCGCATCTCAGCATGGTGTTATTTTTCTCTAGGCCCACATCGGGTGCTCTGCTCTGGACATCCCCAAGGGAACCAGACACCGGAGCCAATGCAGCCAGTTGCAGCTGGGAAGGAGAAAGCTTGACAATTCAGGGCTTCCCCCTCTGTCATTGGCTGGAAATATCCCACGAGGCTGGAAGCCCAAGGCAAACAGTATGAACACCCACCACACTGGCCTCCAACACAGTTGCTCCAGAAGCATGTGTTCAGTCAGTAATTCAGATATGACACAACAAATACTATTTTGAACTAGAAAATTTAAACGTACAATCAAACACATTAAGGGTCAGGCAGCAACCCTTTCTGTTCATTCATCCCAGGCTCACAACCAAAATGGCTGATACAGATACAAATATTTTTCATAATGATTCCCTAAAAACATCACACATATAGCAATGTCTCTGGAAACCAATAAGCCAACACTCCTAACTATGCACTAAATGTGCAAAGACTCCAGAGAGCAACCCTGCCTGGGTCAGCCACCCTGCTTCCTTGCTCCTGGTAGAGCCTGTTCCTATTGATACCAGTCTTCATAGCTCACTTTCCACTGGGATTAATCCAAACAACTTTTATTTGATTGAGTTACTCTCGTCAAAAAAAAATTTCTACAGCACAGTACCATATATTCAGTAAACATAAGTTAAAACCCACTCAAAATGGCAAAGTACTTGGAAAGCTTTAAAGTGGGTGGAGAAAATTGAGTCTTACAGAAGTTCACAAACTTTCAATAATAAATCCAGAAAGTACAGAGCATAGAAAACCTCATGATGTGATAGTTTAGGCAGTTTACTGTTGCCTGGTGTGTATGACTTCACATAGATAGTGTTTTCCATTCTTCAGCCTAACACTATTTGCACCCTTTTTATTTCGCTGGCCCACTGCCATAGCTAGTATGAGCAGATGTGATCTTACTTTTAAATTAAGCTATATGTTGAAAAAGTAGCAGATCTAGGATAGCTTTGGATGGCATAGAGATGCCAAATCCAGGCTCACCCTACTGTTGAGAGACCCAGGCAGTCTCAGGCTTCCCTGCAGCACACACAGTGACAAACCTTCAAATGAAGGCATTCCACTTCTCCCACATGTGAGCTGGACACCCAGATCTGTCTCATACTGAAAACAATGAAAGGTACCTAAAATATATTTGAAGCGCACTTTTAAATGATCCGAAGATTACAGGAAAACGTGTCAGTGGACACAGGTACCCAGACCAACTCAGCACTGGCTTCATGCTCAGAGCCTCTGCTAGCCTGGGCTCTGGTAAACTTATGCTTACTGAATACATATACTGAGAGACGCAGGCTTTGGAGTTCACAGGCTGGCAAAAGGGCAAGAAGCCCAGTATCCACCCAAAGAGAATAAACAAAGCAGCCCCTCCATAAATCTGGGCCCCAAAGGGTACACACTTGGCACTCAGAAAATGGGGAAGGGGGCCCTGGGAAGTCGTAACCAAACTGGGTGTCATGGTGATTTCAGAGGACTTGGCAAAGCCAACACAGTCCTCTCTGAAGGAATTCATTTGCACGCCAGGCCCCAAAGCGCCCCTACAAATAATTTTCCATGGAAAATGAACAGCACACAATAAAGTATCATTAAACCCAAAAGAAAAGGCTTTAGAACAAGAACCAGAAGAAATAACAAAGAACAAAAATTGAGCCACAAAGATGTCAGAATTGGGATTAAGGAGCATAGCACAAAATAGCATTATGTCATGTTTACAGAAGTAAATGCACGAACTTCAAATGTGTGCAGCAAAAAAGAGAGAATAAAGCTCAACTGAGAAGACTTGGAAAAATTATAATCAAAACTTCCTGATTTTAAAAAAGTAATCATTGAGAATGAAATCTCAACTGATTTAACGACAGAATAGACATAGATGAAGAAAGTTAGAGAAACATTAGATGAGAAGAAATTATCCAGAATTATCCAGAATGCATCCCCAAAGTGGTGGGAAATACAGAGATAGATTTGTCCCAGTACCTGTTTGCAACAGGAAATAGTGGCATGTTTGATGGGCCTAGACGGACAGAGATTTAGAACAGAGTGTGGACAGGAGTTTGGGCTACAGGCAGGAAAAGAACCTACAAAGGACACTGACTGAGCCCTCGGCTGGACACTAGGAAGCTGCCTCATCCCAGGAGCTGAATGGAGGTGTCAGGAGGTGGAAAGGCCTCCACAGGGTCAGAAGAAGGTGGGGCACCGCAACCCCAGGAGGGGGGAGGTGGCAGGGGAGGGTGCCCAGGTGGCCTCTCCTCAGTTCTGCTGGGCCCCAACACCAGAATGCAGGAGCGAGGTGGGCCAGGGTGTGGGGCAGCTTCCTGGTTCAGGACACCTCAGAAGACAGAGAAGTCAGAGGCGGAGGAGAGCACAACACAGAGAAGAGGGGATGTGAAGGCGATGGAGGCTTGAGAAGCAGTGTGTGTCTAGTGAGAATTCCAGAGGGCCTGAGGAGGAGCAGGGAAGGAGACATCTGCAGACCTGACAGCTAACATTTCCAGGGCCGTCCTGACACCATCATTCCTCGATCAACCCAAGTTTGCAAGACCGAGTCCCAGCTACCAAATACTGACACTGAATATCAGTTGTAGGCCAAGGTCATGTATTGAAGATTATTTTTCAAGAATGTAATTTTGCAGATGAGAAAGTGAGTTCTGCAAAGATTCGGTGACAGCCCTAAATTCAGCCATCTGCAGACCATATCTCCCCAATTCCTGCATCATATGTCACCAGACTGCCTGGATTTCCTTACTTCCACCCCAAGAGTTGTGATCTGTGTGAATTCAAAGTATTCGTCATTCAATGGAATCCCCCCAGGTTATTCTATTATTATGTACAATTTCTTCCATTTCCTCAAATCCAAGCTTTTATATGAAAATCTAGGTAAAGCTGTGCCCCATGGCAGGGGGAAGAACCTTTCCTAAGATATACACTCAGAAAATTTAGTATATTATCATGTCAGCAAATATTACTAAATTCAAACTGTCTGACAGATGTGGCACTAGCATGTGGAAACATGGACATCAGTAAAGTGAGTGTCCCTGCCCCCAGCACCTGCTCCCAGAGCATGCATGCCAGCAGCAGCCACTGGTGATGCTAATGAGTTGATTAAGTCAAGAGATGTAATTTGAATAAGTACATAAACCTATTTGCAACTCTATTGTAAACCATTTTCAGTTCATGAATTTGCTATTTTTTTCCTGACTACTGGGAACCTATAAAATCATACAGATAATTTGCCTGTTTGCCACTTAAATGTCAGTATTCTACATAAATGATTTCATTGGGTACACAAACAGTGCCATGTGCTGGGTAGGTCAGTGTGGTTAAGACCATCAGCAAAGGAGGGCACTGGCAGGCTCAATCCTAAATCCCCCTTCCCCCCTTTGCTATTTTCCCATTTGTTGCCACATATGCACACCTTCCCCAAACTCACAGTGACAGGTGGGACAGCCATCAGCTAACCTTCATCAACTCTGTGCCAGGGTGTGCTCTGAACATTTTACATACATTCATCTTTCCAACAACCTTAGAGGTATCTATTAATGTGAAATTTTAAAATTGAGGTAAACTCTATCTTTTTGTTCTTTTGTAAACAGAAAACAGATTATAAGTATGACCTGGTGACTGCGGAAACACCAACAGTGGCCTGGCCTCATTCCCACTTTCTGACAGGAGGCATAAGGTGAACACATAGGTAGAGAGACTTTGCTTTATGGGGATTATTTGTAGCCTTTAAGAGAAGTTTTATCACTTTCATTACAGACACAGGGGTCAAGTGGGGTTTCCCCATTCTGCACTACTTCGCAAGGGCAGCTTTAGAACCAGGTGGGTCTGGAGAAAGTTAACAGACCAACCCTACAGAGAAGGCTTCACATGTACATTGGCTGTCCATGGGAGGGTTGGTGGGTGGATGTGACCCCAGGGGTTCACAAGTCATCTTCATGGGAACTCAACTGGCTGCCCCCCTCATGGACCTTGTCACATTGTTTGATGACAGAGCTGGTGTTTGCTTTTCCAAACCAGTTTGGCCAGACCTCCTCACAGAGGCTGTCATGTGTGATTACCCCAGTGAAACTACCTTCACCCCATGTACTCCAGCTTGCCACCCCTCCTGTCTGCTCTGTTCACTACTGATGAGACACTGGGCATGCAGGTAGGCCTGTGTTTTGGAGCTGGGATGCTCTTATGGCCAGTGGCCCCTGGGAGCCTGGCTCGTCCCTACAACTGAGGACTATTTGCAGAAAACATTCACTTTTCCTGCAGTCATTCTGAGAACCTCTGGTTCCAAACTACAGTTTCCCAGCTAAAAGTTGCTAATTTACAAGTTCAGATATGTAACTTTAAAACTCAGGCACACATGTTAGACTGGGCTGCAGCCACATTGGCAGCCCACTGTGTCAAGGTCTGGTACATGGTCACAGATGAATTCCAGGGACATGCAGGGTCCCCATCTGGGACGGGAGTGGCCTTCATGGACTTAGGAAATCAGCCTGTGAGGGAACTGGTCAGTTCAGTGGGGCCTGACAGCCTTGAGACCACCATGTCACAGGCATCCCCAGTGGCCACTGTCAC